TGAGAGCATGGCCCCAGGAAGGGCTGCTCCCAGGCTGCCGGCATCTTGGGCTGAAGGATGAAGGAAAGTCCACATTGTCTCCGGGCCAGGAGGCTGAGGGGCAACAGGGGTGAAAGCCATCCGGTGGCACCACTAACAGGAGGCATCTGAGGGGCCTCGAGGGGGCAGCCCGGTCCCTTCACGAGAGGCCCCCCTACCCCTGCCAGAGGAAGGGCTGGGGCGTCTCCTCACCCTCCGCAGCCAGGGAGCCCCACTCCCTCAGTCAGAGGAAGGCGCCCTCCCGAGGGAGCCAGCGGCAGGCGGGTAAGGGGCACTGTGGTCCACCCAGCAGGGCAAGCTGGAGTCGGGGGCCTGGCCCCGGAGACCGTGGGAGGAGGGAGGGTGCCCTCGGGTCCAAGGCAGCTGTGAGAGCCAAGAACAGCCACGACCGAGCTGAGCTCTGTACACGGCATCCCTCTGGCCCACAGGAGCCCGCGCCAGGACCAGCTGCTGCGGTGTCCTGAGGCCGCAGGGGGAGAGAGGCTCGGGCACAGGTCTCCCAGGAAGGTCAGGCGGCCACCAGGGCCGGCAGTGGCTGCAGCCCTTCTCGCATCATCGAGTCCATGGAGTCCACTGGAAGGTAAGCCGGGCAGAGCTGAGACAATAGGGGAGCAGCAGTGCTGGCCAGGCTGAGGCGGGACGCGGCTCGGATGGGAAGGTGTCGGGTGTGGGGCAGAGCACAGGCTCAGGCCTCAGGCCCACCCTCCAGGCAGGCGGCTCCCTCTGCTTCCCCGCCTGCGGCTTCCCTGCAGCCTGGTGCATCCAGTGTGGGCACCGCGATGGGCACACCTGGCTGACGCTAAACACACACCCTCTGCCACTGTGATGCCCCGAGTTGCTCCAACCTCCTGAAACAGCGTAACCCACGGCCCACACAGCTCACAAAAGGCTCGGCAGGCGGCCCTGCACGCACTAGCATGAGACCTAACCTTCTATCCTTGCAGCGCTGTGACTCAGTCTGCTGCAAACACCGCCTTCTCCCATCACAACCCCAGGCGCAGCCCCTGACCCGTCAGCGAGGGTGAGCATCCCACCGGCTAAGCTCAGCACATCTCGGGCGGACGCTCTGCCCACGAGTCCTCACGAGGCAGCCAGCCATGTCCAAAGCGGCCAGAAGACCTGCTCTCCTAGGAACCCACGGGAGGCTTAGTCTCGTCGCCCCCACATGGGCTGGCATTCTCCCTGCACACGGCCAGGCAGGCTCTGACAATCCAAAGCAGGTTTGCAGGCCCTGCAGGGGCCTCACTCCTCTGCCAGCCCATTCGCATTTGAGGGCCTACTGTGTGACAGAAAGAATCCCAAGTACAGAAGGTAGCATAGGGTTCTGTGGGAAAGCGCCTTTCATCGGGTGGAGGGAAAGGACTCCAAGGCCCCCGCCCCGGTGATGTGCAGTTGGTGCAGGTGATGCCGACAGAAGAAAGCCAGAGGCCTGGGGGAGCCCGAGCGTGGCAGGTGCGGCAGGAGGGCGACTGTGGCTGGGGCAGGTATACAAAGGGAAAGGGGCTCGCTCCCAAGTGCAGCTCTTAATGGGGAGAAGGGGTTGTGAAGCCGATTAAGCTTTACAAAGATCAAGCTGTCTCTTGCCTCAGTATGGAGAACACTAGGGGTCAAGAACAGAGGCGGGGCCCCTAGCCGGTTTGGCTCAGTGGATAGAGCATCAGCCTGCGGACTGCAGGGTCCTGGGTTCAATTCCAGTCAGGGGCCCATGCCCGGGTTACAAGCTCAATCCCCAGTGGGGGCGTGCAGGAGGCAGCTGATTGATGATTCTCTCTCATCATTGATGTTTCTCTCTCTCTCTCTCCCGCTCCCTCTCCCTTCCTCTCTGAAATCAATAAAAATATATTTTAAGAAAAGAGAAAGTTATATTATACTCTCAGAAAATGCTCAACAATCCAGGGAGAACAACTCAAGCTACAGTGAATGAAAAGAGGTTAAAACATATCCAGTGTGCTCCCAGGCCTAACGCGTCTGGTGCGCATGTGACAGGCCGTCTCTCGATGAAGACAGAAAATGATGGAGGAGTTTGCTGAGTGGGAGGAACCACAAAAGATTTCCTTTTTCCCTTTTCTACAACGTGTATTTATGCCCCATTATTATAATGAGGGAAACAACTCCTTTAACAGAAAGACTTCAATCCTGTTTTAGGGAAACCCAAGCGCCAGGGAGGACGGCATCTGCTCCGACTCCCCACCCACTCTCCCGGGCGGCAAGACTGTCGGGATGAAGAGCCACACATCTTCATGTTTCTCTACAGGCTCATCAGCTACTAAGTGGTCTGCTTTACAGATAATATGCTCAGATAAAATCCTGTTTTCCAGTAAAACCTCTTTCCTCCTCCTGAGAGTAAGCCTGTTAAGCGTCTCTGCCAGATGCAGCAAATGCCTGGCGCACTGCAGCACTGCCAGGCACCTGTGGTCAAACGAACCCACGTAAGACATTCCACAGCCACTGGAAGGAGGGCAACCAGGGCGGGTTTGGATACCCACATCAAACCTGCAGTTGCGCAAGAAATGTACCCCCAAACCGTCATTCTTCACCGAACGGTCAGACTCGCATAGGCTTGCTGGGGGGTCATGAAGAGTGTATGGGAACCCACAAACTAGAAAGAGCTTGTGAAGTGAGCAGCATCTTCAGAAGCGTGACCACCTCTGCGACCAAGGCCACCCTGACAACAAGCCACGACCTGCAGAGAAGGGGGCCAACAGGGAAAAGGAAGAGCACAGGAGGGTGGTGAGGGTGGGCTGCCGAGGTTCAGGGGAAGTGGCATCATCACCGCTCTTGTGTCTGGGGGTGTGGGACCTTGTAATTTCCTCTGAATCCTGAGAGACCTGGCCCTTGAATAAAAAGGGTGCTGACCTCTGCTCTAGAGATGCTCACAGTTTGAGAGGGACACCCACCATGCTTGGGGCATGGAGAGGGGCACGGAATTTGTGGCCGTTTCTAATCTAGATGCCTGGGCTGGGGGCAGAGAGGGGCAAGCTGTGGGTAAGGACCGACGAGACTGTGCTCTGCCCAGTGGCGTACAAGGCAGTGTTGCTGTGCAGTGTCCACGCCCAGGCTGAGGAGACTGGCACCTCCCACGTCCTGTTTCTTGAACCACCTCATCAAGGAGCCCAGCTACTGTGCCGTGAGGAAATCCCAGCAGCCGAGGACAGGTCTGCATGGGAAGGAGCCTAGAACCCTGACCAGCAGCCCCAGCTACGCTCCCTGCCGACAGGGAGCTTGCATTTCTATGGACTGAATTAGAGCAAATCATGCATGAGCCATCCTGGAAGCGCGGCCTCCAGCCCCGAGGAGCCACTCCAGCTGGTGCCATGGGAGCAGAGGTAAGATTCCCAGATGAGCTCTGAATCCCTCAATTCCTGGCCACAAACATGGGAGCAAAACAAATGGGTTGTTTTAAACTACTAACCTTTGGTGGTTTGAACACACCAACAGGTAGTCAGAACACTATGTGTATGTATAAGTCTAAATGCAATACAGATATAAAACTACCTTGACCAAGTATAGATTTTTTTTTTAAATTGGCTAGCATTTTAAAAATATTTTTATTGATTTCAGAGAGGAAGGGAAAGGGAGAGAGAGATAGAAACATCAATGATGAGAGAGAATCATAGATCAGCTGCCTCCTGCACGCTCCCTACTGGGGATGGAGTCCACATCCTGGGCATGTGCCCTGACTGGGAATTGAACCGTGACCTCCTGGTTCATGGGTCAATGCTCAACCACTGAGCCATACCAGCCAGACCTAAATATAGATCTTAAAATATTTTCAGTTTATTTTCAAGCCACACCTCTAAGGAATGAATGCTATAGATCAGGGATAGCTGTGAGCTAAATCTGGCCTCCGCTACCTGTTTTTGTACAGCCCAGGACTAAAAATAGGTTTGTTTTTTTTGCATTTTCAAGTAATTTAAAAAAATCAATAAGCAAAACAATAGCATTCCTTGACATGTTAAAATCATATGAAATTCAAATGTCACCTTCTGTGTCCATAGTAAGTGCTATTGGAGCACAGCCACGCCCACTCACTCACAGACGTCTGTGGGCCCTCGGCACCACACTGGCAGAGCTGAAGAATTGTCAGAGAAATCAGAGGGCCCATGACGCCTAACATACCATCTGGCCCTTGAAGAAAAGGGGTGCTGACCTCTGCTCTAGGAGATGCTCACAGTTTGAGAGGGACACCCACCCACCCACAGGGCCACCACGCCAACTCACTCACGATTCGGAGGAAATGACCAGGTCCCGCCCCGCCCCCCCAACACAGCGTGGTGCTTCCTCACACAGAAGCTTCCTGTGCCGCCTGATTCCCACCCCGGATCGGCCAAGGTGCTCCTCCTACCCTTACACGGTCTCGGATCCCCCCGTTTTCCCAACTGCTTCCCCAAGGAGATGGGGCCAGGCTGAAGTCTGGGTACTAATTTGGTTCCTAAGTGGCCAAATACATTAGTAAACATAGAACACTAAATTAGAGCGAAACTCCTCTATTATTCATACTTCATTTTTAAAAAATAGGTTCAAAGCATTTAAAAGTTCTGTAGTTCTTGGGCTTAACCCCATGGTTAATGAAAGACCTTTTCCTATACACAGGCCTTTTTCCATCAAATCCCTAAGTTGATGACCTAGAGATCTTCAAGAGTACACATGCAAAGGCTTCTTAGTGGTGACACCCTCAAAACGGGAGTAAGGCCCGGCTGGCGTGGCTCAGTGGTTGAGCGTCAACCTATGAACCAGGAGGTCACAGTTCAATTCCCAGTCAGGGCACATGCCCGGGTTGTGGATTCGATCCCCAGTGTGGGGCGTGCAGGAGGCAGCCGGTCCATGATTCTCTCATCATGGATGTTTCTCTCTCCCTCCCTCTTCCTCTCTGAAATCAATAAAAATGTATTTTTAAAAAACAGGAGTAAGAATAAAGGTTTAGGATGCTATTCTGAGATATATGGGGACCCTCTTATGAACCTCAGTGACTGTTCCCCTTTTAAGGGACAATAAGTAGGTTCTGGAAAAACTGAGCTCAGAATTGCTGGAGCAGAGAACTGAAACACGGAAACCTAAAACTACAATGGAAGACGATTCATTCTTCCTCATTTACTCTTCACATCCAGTCTCACCTTGACGACTTCTCCATCAGAAGCAATTACGTCTGTTGGAATGGTCACTCGAAATGAGCGCCCGACGACAGCCGTGCCGTCAGGAATGCCAGCCACCGTGGGGACAGCCTCCGGGAGGTCCGACAGCACCGAGTGCATGGACGCCTCCAGCTGGTTCTCCCAGGCCCTGGCGGCCTCCGAGGGTTCACTTGGCCAGTGGGACTGAGTCATGGCCACGCAGAGCAGGAGGAGAAAGGTCCGCCCCCCGACGGGGAGCAGCAGCAAAAGGCCCACAGACATCCTCCTCCAGGCGAGTCTGCTCGAGCCGGTCTCACGATGAAAGGAAGTCAGTGACGTGGCCCCAAGCGGGTCCTCACCCCCTGCACGCCTGCTCCATCCCAGAGCACTCAGCCTGGAAAAGAAGAAGAGCGCCTCAGACTTCAGCGACCCGCATGGCTTCAGAGTTGTACACAGGCAGTTACTAACTGTTGTACCGGAAACATCGATCCTGAGCGGGACCGTCTCACCCTGCGCTGTCCAGCACGGGCCGCCGGCCGCAGGTGGCGACTGAGCACTGGCAATGCGGCTTGCCCGGTAAATGGTAAGTGCACACTAAATTTTTAAAGTTCACATAAAAAAGAAATGTAGAGCCCTGGCTGGTTTTGCTTAGTGGATAGAGCGTCGGCCTGCTGACTGAAGGGTCCCAGGTTCGATTCCAGTCAAGAGCACATGCCCAGGTTGCGAGCTCGATCCCCAGTGTGGGGCGTGCAGGAGGCAGCCGATCAATGATTCCCTCTCATCATTGATGTTTCTATCTTTCTCTCCCTCTCCCTTCCTCTCTGAAATCAATAAAAATAATAATAAACAAATTTTTTAAAATGTAAAATATCTCATTAATACTTTTAAAATATTCATTACATATTGAAACAATATTTTGGCGATAAATATATCAAGTAATAAATACTTATAAACTAGAGGCCCGGTGCATGAATTCGTGCACCAGTGGGGTCCCTCGGCCTGGCCTGCACCCTCTCGCAATCCAGGACCCCTCGGGGATGTCGGGATAGCTGGTTTCGGCCCGATCCCCACAGGACCAATCCAGGCAGGAGGGAGCCCGATCCTGTGCGTTGAGCGTCTGTCCCCTGGGGGTCAGTGCGCACCATAGTGACCGGTTGACTAGTTGTTCGGTCGCTTAGGCTTTTATATATATAGGGGTAAATAATAAAAAAAAACATATTACATTAAATATATTATTAAAGCCCTGACGGGTTTGGCTCAGTGGATAGAGCGTCAGCCTTCGGACTGAAGGGTCCCAGGTTTGATTCCAGTCAAGGGCATGTACCCTGGTTGCGGGCGCATCCCCAGTGGGGAGTGTGCAGGAGGCAGCTGATCGATGTTTCTAGCTCTCTATCCCTCTTCCTTCCTCTCTGTAAAAAATCAATAAAATATATTAAAATACACACACACACACACACACACACACACACACATATTATTAAAGTTAAATCCACTTCTTATGTTTATTCGTATTTTGGGCCTATGTAGCCCAGGTTCCATTTCTGTTGGGCAGTGCTGCTCTGGACCTAACTTCCACAGGACAGGAAACACAGGAGTCACGAAGACACAATCAGACAAACCCAGGATGTGGGACCTTCTACAGGACAACTGGCTTGGCTGGTCCAAATGCCGACCCCCACACACCAGGGGACTGTTCTCGATTTAGAGGCCACAGCCAGGTGCAGGGCATGCATCTTGACTAGATCCTGGATTTACTTCAAAAACAAAAAAACACACAAGCCTAGCTCACAAGGGGTAACCGGGGAACTCTGCGTGTGGGTTGGAGAGAAGTACTGTTAATTCTCCTGGGTGAGGTGATGGTGGTGTGTGCCTATAAGAGATGGTCCTCGACTTCAAAGTACTTAGGAATAAAATATCCCAAACCTCCGTAACTCACTTTGAAATGGCCCAAGGGGGGGGAAATGCTTGTGTGTATAGGGATAAAGCAATGTAGTAAATATAACAATTGTTAAGTCTTTAAAAATAGTTTTGAAAAGACTAGAAAAGTCAAGTATTTGCACAGAGACGCAACAAGTGCTCAGTCCTCACACCCCAGCACTAACCACAGGACTCCCTTATTAGACATGTACTTGCAGACTCAGCGCCAGTGAACAACACTTGCTTGGCCTCCCTTCCCACCACT